TTAAAGCTGAACCGCATCAGACTCCTACTGGCTCCTTACATGAGGCGCATGTGTTTCATTTACATTCAAGAGGACCTATTAATGAAGAATATGTATGCTGACCACTGAAAACATAAATTAGCTAATGGTACATGAATTTATAACATGGAAATGAATCTTATAGCTGAGCTGCAAGCACTCACTCGAATGCTTTTAATGCATGTCCCGCTTTACCTTCTGGAATATAATTATTTTTATCCATTTCACCTCCACTCTACCATTATTATGTACAAATAATTAAATACAAGTAATCAATAAAAGTGTTTAATTGTTTTAAGGACAGCAGTGAAAGAACATCTAGTTCTGTCAGGACCAATATCATCAAATATGATTCTGCTCTGGGCAAGAACTCCCTTCGCATCAATGCAGTCTAGCATGGATGAGAGCAGGGAGTGCAACAATAACCCCCCCCCCAGGGTAAACAGAACTGAACCAACATAAATGTATTGTAATACCGTATACCGTGATAAAAGCATTAGCAATTAATCGCAACATGAAAATTTGATACCGGCATATCCCTAATTGCAAATATCATTAATGTTTAATAAGGGGAATCAGAAGCCAATCCTGACTGGATGAGAGGAGGAGCTAGGGATGGAGGCGGGTAATTAGCTATTGAGGAACACGAAAGCTGCTGATAATACTGAAGGACCTTATATATGGGTGCTGTGATAGGTGTTGCATCCCTATGGGTAGACGTGGATCAGCTGAGAGTCAGCTGATGCGAGCTTGACTAACGTGACATGCCAGAACTAACACTTCGCTTGATTTCACTGGAAGCAGCCAAATAATCATAAATGCCAGTAAGTCATTAGATATTTATCTTGTCATTTATTATGCTATGCTGAGTGAGTAACTCTGGGTTTATAGTTCATTGACATTACACGATAAGGGCCTGATTTTGAACAGGCACACAAACAGACGCACCTGAGCCGTCGTACTGTTGAGCTTCTCCAAGCCGTTTTCCAGTCGCTCCATCTTGGAGGTCAGAACTTTCTTCTTGAGCGCCAGCAGGTTCCCGTACAGCTTGATCTGCTCCAGGAAGGACTTGGGCGTGGTGTAGTTGTATCGCCGCTCGTTGGCCAGGTAGTCTTTTGAGGTCTTGTTCACGCTAATGTGTACGTAGGCCATGAATTTACTCACCGAGTCCTTCACCTCTGGCTAGATCAGTGAAAAAAATGCAGTTCATAGATGAAATATAATTACCAGAATATTGCCAGAAATGTCATACCACTGAGTCGTCACAGCTGTTTAATTTTCCCCTGAAATATAATGCAGAAACTGAGTGCACAGTGCTTGGCCAATCTAATTATATTTTTCATGACTTGAGGCACCTCAGAAAAAAAAAAAAAATCACACTCTGCATTTGCTTTTGAATGTATTAGATGACATTGAGACACATTACTGCAGTAAGAGAGGTGCGTTTGTCTAACCAGCTGAGACCTTCAGTGCTCTGGATTGAGGGAATCATGATAAAACCATTTGATGAAGATGTATTGTTTCTGAGTTGATGGGCGTCTCACCTGGATGTGCTCCACGTCCTGCAGGAACCTCAGGCTGACCGACTCTAGCGCCTCCTGTGGCCATTCGTGGAACCAATCGATGGCGGTGCAGTTGACCACCGCAGGAAACTTCCTGCTGCGCACCCTCAGCTTACTGCCCACCGGAGAGAAACACAGCGCCACCTGCAGGGCAGTGTTGGTTAAACGCTCTCCCAAAACAATCACAGGAAGGCGGTGTCAGTTGTAGCTGGTTGGTGTTTTAATATTATACCAGCTTCCTTGGCTATTTTGATGGTAACATAATATAAAATGGCAATTTAAAAACCTATAATGAGGTTCAAAATGGACAACTAAAATGTCTTCAAAAGTGTTTGTTGAGTGGTTTTGAGTTTTAAAAACTGTAAACTGTTAAACTGTTTCTAAAATGTTAAATGCATGGTGCAATAGAGCGCAACAGTCAGCTGTGGAAGAAAAACTCCATTCATTTTCTCACTAATTGTTTTTTTAAAAGACAAACCTGATGTGAGCTCTTAGGTTGTTAATTGATTAATCATATATGCTGTTGTTGAATCTGTTCCTGTTATTTCAAATTATTTTTAGAATAAATATATAGTTCAGTCATGAAACTCTAGATGGCACAGGCGACGGGTTGTTAACATAACCAATGATATTCAGAGAGTTAAACGACTTGGCACAGCTGATTGGTTCATGCTGCATATGCAGCCAATGAGCTTACTGCCTTGCATTTATATGGCTGGCTAGCATTCACTAGAGATTCCTGCAGCGCGCTTTCAGAGTTCCTCTGAAACCCTCCACCTTCCCCAGCTCCACCTGTATAGATCTGCTACGGGTTATTTTATATGCTATTTGTGCAGCAGCAGTATGTCTTAAATACTCATGGCACCGTATCGCCATATGCATTGGCAGTAGCAAGTTCCTGTACTTGCTTGCAGCAGCAGCAATAATCTACAACTACAGCAATAACCAACAGCAGCAGCAATTCAGCAGCAGCATAGCAGATCTATTCCGCCAAGACCAAATACATTAACATTGTCATATCCATCACCATGCTAAAATCTTCAGAGTCGTCATGCTTGAACTGTGGTGAAAAACTTCAGTACCCATGATGTTGAACAGAAAATGACACCAATCAGAGTCACAGTAAGCAAAGCACACAAAAAAGAGCTACGCCCACTCCCATGTAATCAAGTCGGTATACGTAAAGATCTATCTAGCTATCTATCTATA